CTAGAAGAAGACACCAAGAAGATTGGATACACCTGGGGACAGTTGGGGAGACTAGCCCAGGACAGAGATGCCTGAAACCAAGAAGAAGGGATACACCAGGGGACAGTAGGAGAGACTAGCCCAGGACACCTGGGGACAGTTGGAGAGACTAGCCCAGGACACCTGGGGACAGTAGGAGAGACTAGCCTAGGACACCTGGGGACAGTTGGAGAGACTAGCCCAGGACACCTGGGGACAGTTGGAGAGACTAGCCCAGGACACCTGGGGACAGTTGGAGAGACTAGCCCAGGACACCTGGGGACAGTTGGAGAGACTAGCCCAGGACACCTGGGGACAGTTGGAGAGACTAGCCCAGGACACCTGGGGACAGTTGGAGAGACTAGCCCAGGACACCTGGGGACAGTTGGAGAGACTAGCCCAGGACACCTGGGGACAGTTGGAGAGACTAGCCCAGGACACCTGGGGACAGTTGGAGAGACTAGCCCAGGACACCTGGGGACAGTTGGAGAGACTAGCCCAGGACACCTGGGGACAGTTGGAGAGACTAGCCCAGGACACATGGGGACAGTTGGAGAGACTAGCCCAGGACACATGGGGACAGTTGGAGAGACTAGCCCAGGACACCTGGGGACAGTTGGAGAGACTAGCCCAGGACACATGGGGACAGTTGGAGAGACTAGCCCAGGACACATGGGGACAGTTGGAGAGACTAGCCCAGGACAGAGATGCATGGAAAGCTTTTGTAAGCGGCCTATTTCACAGAAGGCTTGTCAGACTAACCTGACCTAATTATGATGTCAACTATCTGCAATAAATTAAACATTAACACTACCACGTATAACTCTATATCACGCTTGCTAACCCCGAATGTAACGAAACCCGGTTCGTTCCTCCTGTGACCCAACTCGTCATCATGCCCAAACCAGGTTTTGCGATGCACTGGAAACCTGGCGGAAACCCACATATCTAGAGGCTGGTAACATGGGCTCCAGTCTTTCAGTCTAATGAGCAAAAGCTTGAGCCAGTAATGACCGTATACGAGAGAGATAGCACCCTAATGTTAAAAATGTTGTTAGCAGAAAGGTTTTGGGAGCCAGGCCTTGAACTATATAGGCCTACCGTGTCTTCATGGTCTTGGTCTATGTTGTTTGTTGCACTTTTGAAAATCATCAATTACTAGTAAAACAACAAATTGCTTATCAACTATATTTGAGGCATAGCGATGTCGACGGAGTAGATGGGGCGTTTAAAATGGCGCCAATTTTTCACTTTATTACAATCTGATGTGTCTTTGTTTGAATGATAGTTGGGATTCATTTTAACTGAATACATTTCCGAAAAATTTAAAAAAAAATTGTTTCCTCTCCTACCCTCAGTTTACGCCTCTGATCTTTAAGTTTTAATAAAAATAGCCAGAACAAAACAAAATTTGTAAATAGTTTTGAGCAGTACTCAAAGAAATAGTTTATAATTAATTTTTTTTCAACTACTAGTCTTCAGTTTATTAAATTTTTCTTTCTAGATGATATTAAATGTAAAATAATCCCTAGGTTGTAAATCTCTCGATATTTGGCTTTTATTTAGTAAATTAAGATGTTGCGCTATGTTGTGTAAACCACAGTTTTATCACATGTTCCTGTGGTTTATAGGATAACAGTGTTGTTGTCAATGGGTGGGAATGGATGGAGGAAAGACTTTCCAAGTCATTTGGGACAGGGGTAGTGAGCAAGTAATATGTAGTCCACATAATGTGATTCTATTTACATAAAGGGAAATAAATATCACGTGGAAAGCCGACATATGTTTATCAGTTACCTTAATTAAAAGTAACACGAAAATTAAGAGTTGAAATTTGTTTTTAATAAAAGAGGAATAATGACATTTTAAAATTGAATATATTTTAAAGATGATAAAAAATCATTTTGAACATTATTTTAATATACACTAGAATATAGAATACAGATTGGTTTTAAAACCAAAAAGAAAAAAATGGATCTACACATTTTTTTTTAGTTTTGACAGTGGCTATAAATTAGCCTACGTCACTTTCTAGAATGTGCCTTGCCAAAAAAATCGCACGGCCTAGAAAAAAAAAAGTTTTAACAAAGAGAAGCAACTCTAACACAGCGTTTGTCAAACTGAGATGTCACTAATTACCGAGCCATTAATTTACAGCCAGGGCGAGACGTAGAGTTAAAGACACACCGAATTTTCTGATGAACAGCGCTTGTTGTTAACTGTAATGCTAGCCATGGCGTTGTGCTAGAACTTGAAGAAAAAGAAACTGAAGGATTGGGTTGAGATTTCGCCAAGACCCGCTCCTCCAATTAGGTCGGTTAATTGTTGTTTTTAATGACGACTAAGAGTTGTGGAATCGCCTCATTTTCCTAATGTCACTGACATGGTCGTGTGTTTTTTTAAACTTGGAGCACTTATTGAAAGGATTTTTTTTGGAAATGAAGGGGGTGGGCGTAGCGCACTTTTAAAACTCACTGAGTCATTTTTTTAAACTTTTTTTTTAGAATGAAACAAAAAGGGTATCGATAGTAAAACGTGAAAGCGGCTTGTTCTTTTTAAGCTATTTTGATTTCAATTTATAACAAAGTAAAACAAAACTTAAATATTTTTTCAAATATTACTTAAATATTTTACTTGTCTTATTCCCGCCCGAATTTTTAAAAATCTGTATATAAATATAGCAAGAAAGAAAGTTGTAGAACATAGCTCGAACTGAACTACCAAGCTGTAGTACACTAAATTTGTGTAGGTGAGTAGAAATATATTGTCAAACCGTAGACCAATTAATAATACTTGCTGATAAAGCTTTCACACGAACCCCATCAGTGATAAGATATACCACCGCCAAGCAATATCAGAAAACGGTGCCTTCATTGGATAGGCCTAATATAAGGCTGTCTTGCGATGGAGAAGTATTCTGAATGAGACTGGATCTCATGGAGCGCAATTATATAGGGATCTTTTGGGGGTAAGATCTGTATGGATCTTATGGAGGGAAAGTATGAAGGGAATCTTATAGAGGGAAGATCTCTAAAGGTGTTATAGAGTGACAATCCGTATGGGATCTTATGGAGGAAAAATATTTAGCAGACTTGATCTGTTGGAGGTAAAATATGAAGGGTACTAGATCCTATGGAGGGCATTATGAATAAAAAAGACGATATAATGTTGGTACAATCTATAGATAACTTGATGTGAATTTTTTGCATCGAACTAATAGTCTTGGTCGGGAGAATAAACCTCAGCATGAAGCTTCCAAAAGCAGGTTCCATGTACTTGTAAAGAAATGCCCTGAACTGGGAAACTGAACTGCGAGGAAAAAAGACATTTGAAAAAAAAAAATCGATGACACCCCCCCCCCCCTCGCTCATTCGTGTTGGTCCATTATGTACATCATTTTATAGCGTATCAAGTATCATTAGTAGTCGTTGTGGTTTTTTTTTTTAAATAGATTCAATGCAATTGTAAAGGCATTGTACTCAGTGTTTCTTCCAGACTTTTTTCTCCGGGGGGGGGGGGGGGCACTTGAAATTTTCGGGGGTGGGGGGCGGTAGACTTTCTTCGGGGGGGGGGGGGGCGGACACTGTTAAAAGTATATATTTTCTATATAAATTATATAAATTTCATTTCGTTCGGGGAGGGGGGGGCGGTAAAAAAATTTCGGGGGGGGGGGGGGGGCGGGGCTAGGCCCCCCCCCCCCCTTCCCCCCGAAGAGATGCCTGGAAGAAACTCTGATTGTACTTGAATGATTTTTACTTTCTCGTATATACGAAGTATAGAGAAAGTCTTGTAATCGTGCAAAAAAAAAAAATCGAGATTTTTACAAATCTCGACGTTTTACACCTCACTGATACGGAAAAACATAATTTTGCAATCTTGTCCGTATGTCTGTGTGTCTGTCTGTGTGTCTGTGTGTCTGTCTGTCCGTGTGTAAACACGATAACTTGAGTACCGTTACAGCTACGTTGATGAAATTTCATATATAAGTATTTTATCGAAATCGTAGATCCGTATCAACTTTTGAGCGATTTCCGATAACCGGAAGTGGTACTTTTCCTACTTTGAATTTTTCAAAAGCCTATAACTTGAGTACTATTTCAGATCGATAAATGAAATTTCACATGTAAGTAAAAGATCTAGTTCTCTACCTTCTGTTAAATTTTGAGTAATTTCCGTTGACTGGAAGTAGTAATTTACGCTACTTCCGATTTCTCAAAAAACTAATGTAAATTTTAAAAGTACTAATAATATTGCGCACCATTATGCGCTTTTTTATTTGGCGTTCACTTGGTGTGCAATTAATTTGTCTACGAGATTTTATTCTATTTTTAAAACTTAAAGTATTTAAAATGGATTAAAAATCATGTCTATAGCTCGAGTTCCCATCCCCTGTTATTTTATATAAGAATATTCGAGAAAGTTTAGGGGAGATCACTCCCGGTTTATTTTACTACTTTTACTTTTACTGCGTTAAATGTATAGAAACTAGACTTCGTATTTTAAATTTTTTTTAATGAACTTATTATTAAGTAAGGGAGGTAATCAAGCTATCAAACAGCTTTATTGTAAAAGGAAGGTTTAAAATTCTTGTAGGACGAGTAAACAAAGTAAAAAAATATTTTGCCTGATTTCTTTAAAAAAATAGTTTGGCATAATTTCGGTAATTCTGTTTCAAATATAGGTCTAGGGCCTATATCACGAACTCATCAGTAGTACGAAGTAATAAGAATAATAAGATGATTTTAAAACTTTAAATAAGCCTATAGATCTAGTTAGAAGAATAAAGACAGAAACAAACGATATCAGACTATATCTACAATATATTGAATCAATAACGATGATGTCCATTTAAATTATGTATTGTTTTATTTTTTAGTAGCTTTGTTTCTTTAAAAAACAGTATTATAAATTATCTAAATTTACTAAATTATTTTCTATACAATTAAACTCTGCGAATGTAGTTTTAGATGTGTAGAAGTAGGTCAAGTGGGAGTTGTTTACAAAACTTCGGTGATACACACGTGTTATAGTTGTTTTTCCCTGGACATTTGCAATTAAAAATGGGTAAAGTGAAGAAACAGAAACGTCACCTTAAATTTCGTTATGATAAAGACAGAAAGAAGAACTGGAAAAAAGCTAAGGGAATGCCTACGATTAAGTGGTTAGTGTGTATTTTATATTTATTGTGTCTAAAGTATCGAATAGTAAAACTACCTAATCTCGATAATTCTTGATCTATCTGACTCGAACTGTTTTAGCGGTTTTAGCCTGTAGTGACACTGTAGTGGTGTAGTTTGTAACTCACTGACTCTTTCAACTTAAGAAGTAATCTTTAAAGTAGTCTAGAGTATTAATGTTCAACAGTTTTATTAGACCCATCATAGCTATTAACTTATTATTAAGTTTATTAACTTATTGTGAATTATTGTGTTCATTTCAGTTCAGTTGTTTAGTAAAAATTAAAAATTAAAAAATAATTTAAAATAGGGGGCCTAGGCCTATTAACTTAATTATTAATTAACTATTAAAAAGTTTAGGCCTATTTTCATATTTTGGTTGGTTCTTGTCTACTTCATCCTTAGTTATTGAATTGGTTAACTTAGTAAGAATCTAGATTCTGATCTAAATCAAAATCTAGACTCTACTACCTTACCTGACCTGTAACCTTGATCTAGCCTAGTCCACAGTTGCATTCATATTTCATATGATTCATTCATTTTGGCCCTTGACGGCTTACGGTCTTACCTGACCTTTCATCAAACTTTCAATCTAGATCTAGACCAAAATGAATTAGTAAACATCTAGATCTAGATTCTAGGCCAAAATTATCTAGGCCTACTGAATCTAGTGAAGTTAAATGTTAAAGTAATACCTGGAAGGCAGTGGAAGCTGATAGTGGTAATCGCAATTGGTCTAGAATAGTCTAGATATTTGAAATCTAAAATATCCAATTGACGGGCCTACAAACTAATAACTAATTCATCAAAAAACAATGTCTAGTTTTGGAAATCATAGAGTTGTGGATATTAGAAATACATTTTGGAGTAAACTTCTGTTTCCTCTGGTATAGGCCTAAATAGTTTATTATATCATTAATTGAAATACTCAAATAGCATAGGAAATTGTTCAAATTTTAAGAACATGTGTCCAAGTAGTCTAAGTGAGTTAAACCACATTTTATTGGCCTAAATCTTTTTCTTATCTCATGACAGTGAAGAAATCAAGAAGGCATGGGATGAAACAAAAACACTTGACAGAAATCTGGAGGAGATGGGAATATCTGTTGATCCTAACAAGACTTTCCCTGTTCCTAAGTCAAAGGTAAACTTGTCTCTTTTTTTTATTTAAAAAAAAAATTGTGTTTAGGCATATTAGGTGTTTAACAAAATAGCTTGACTACACCTCCCTTCATATTTCCTTTAACTGGAAGCTATTGTCAATAGTAATTTATATTTGCTCATTAATTTTAATAGTTTATTTAATAACAATAACACATTTGGTTTGATTCTATTAAAATGTAATATTTTTTAACTTTCTGCCCATGTATCTTCACTAATTAGATACTGTACAGGACTGTTTTAGCTTATTACATTGCAACTTGTACCTGTAGACTAAATTTACATTACTGTTAAGATATTTTTAAAATTTGGAGAAATATTAATTAGAGATTAATTGACATTTTTAAAACACTTAACATTTATTGCAGGTGACAAAAATGGGAATGCTTGATGTAGAAATGGAAGTTGATTTACAAAAGACACCAGTGAAAAATTTTGTCATTCAAGGTAAACTATATATGCATTGTTTTTGAATAGGCTTTCTATTTTTTAAAGTGTGAAAAATATTTTACATCCACGTTCTTTTTATCATTTGTTTTTCTACTTTAGATCTTGAAGAGAAATCCAAAATATCAGGTCCAAAGAAAATGAGCATGTCAGAAGAAGATGCTGGATTCTGTATTTACTTGATGGATAAATATGGTGATAATTATAAGGTATCACAAAACTCGCTCCATTTTTAAAAAATTTCGAATAACATCCGTTTAAATATTCATCAGCAAAAAAAATCATGATTGTGTAAATTGTTAATATATTTACTTTTAAGTCAGTAGCTTACATTTGATCAACATCTTGTTTTCTGTTTAAGGGTATGTCTAGAGATGAAAGAAATTTTTACCAAGAAACACCCAAACAACTTCAGCGCAAGATCAATCGATTTAAAAGTATCCCTGAAATGTACAAAGTGTATGCGGAAGCCAGACAAGGTGAGAGCAAATCAGGCTCAAGATAGTATTTAAAATAAGATATTCCAGCTTTGTACATTTGCATTTAAATTCTGTTTTTCTCTTGTGTTGAACTGTAAAATGGTATATTTCAACATCTTTTGTTAGTGAATATTGGTTCCCTTGTTTCTGTTTAAGTAAAACCCCTTTTAAAAATGTGTATATCCTTGTAGACAGCAGTTTATTTTAATTTTTTTTAACTAGAAATTATTCTACAAGAGCAAATCAGTTAATCAAATGATTTTTTTGTTTAGTTTGGGGAATATTTTTACTGTAGTTTTGTTCTTTAAAATGATTCTTAACAAAATGTAATAACAAAGAGAATTACCTTAAGTAAAAAGTCTATTAATTTAATTTTGATTGAGCACATTGGAAGAACAGTTTTTTATTAGAGATAATGTTCTTTATATTAATTAAATGCATATACTATTATTATAATGTGAGTGCTCTTCAGAATCAAGAGTGAGATGTATTTTTTAAATAAATTATTTCATTATGCTCATGGAGTTAATAAAGAGAATACAAACCAGATCATCTTTTGCTTCGTTTTTAAAATGAGTTTTTATTTTTATTCTTCTTCAATATATAAGCCATGGTAGGTTTTTCTACTTAATGATTTGCTTTTGTAGAGTAATATAATTCAGACTTTTAACTTAATATAAATTCCCCATCCTTATTTTCATAGATAGTTATCATTAACATAAATGAGCAATTGTGAGTTTCATTGTACCAATCCTGATGGTACAGAAAAAGCTTTTTAAGATCTACACAACTTGTTTTGGTAATGAAAATTTCAACCCTACAATGCCTGACTACCCCCTCCCCCCCCACACCAACCTGCTAAAATATTCCACTAGTTACATAACTGCATAACTATTAGCAAGAATCACACACTCATATTATTTCCACTGAAAATAGAGATCCCAAGTGCTGAAAGTCTGATAACTATTGAAAAAGAAATAAACAAGCTCAAGCAGTCCAAAATAATAGCAATTTAATAAAATTCAACAATAAATAAATTTATGTGCTCATACATTTAATACTGATTGGCATTGTAAAAATTTTAAGCAGTTGTTTTATACATGAATTTATGTGACAGTGAGCAGTTAAACATAAAACATTTTCTAGAATTAAAATAGCTTTTCTCTCAGAAACAAATTTGAAAGTAATAAAATTGTAATATAGTATTATAAACTTAACATGAAACACAATGTATGTTCAAACACGTGCATTTTTTCAAAAAATCAAATAAAGAAAATAATATTTTAAAAGCAAATTAAACTCTAAAATCTTTTTCTGTTGAGAATAGAAGGGGTATGTCCATATAAATCCTTTAAGAGTAGACTTTTATCACATTATCGCTCTATTGGTTGAGCCAGGGCATGTATCCTATCTGGGAAGTGTCCTTTGAGTGCCGTAGGCTTGACTTGAAAGGCGTCAGGGTTGAACTGCAGAATGTTCATGTTGGTCCTCTGTACGGGCTGGGCCAGTTCACTCAGTCTCCCTGTAGCTGAGGCCTGTTTGGCCGCCTTGGTCACTGGCCACTCTATCTCCCTTGGAGGCTGGAAGCCCTCCACTGTGGACTTGGCCCTGGCCAGCTCTGTGCATCTCTGTGTGGCCACTGAGTTCCTTACGGCTTCTGATACCTGCGGTAGGAGGGAAACTTCATTTAGTAATATGAAGTTACCAATTGGCATTGACTAATATGAAGCTACCATTTAGCATTCATTAATTTGAAGCTATCAATTAGCATCTATTTAAATGAAGCTACCAATTAAAGTCAATTCAATTAGGCAAGAGTTTCTCTTGTTATTATGATACTGAGGAATTAACTTAACATTTGAGTCATAACGATTATTAAGTAATGTTTTAATCCAGTCATAATTAACCAACTTCCTATTATCTCAGTAATCTATTCCTATTTTCTAAATGACCTGCTGTCTACAAGCTGGCTTTGGGTCACCTTAAACTCAACAAAATACCTTTGTGTTTTGTTATTCTACTTTATCCTGGTCAACGTTCTTTTAACTTTAATCTATTTAATTATTACATATACATTTCCTTTGTATTGTTAGTATGCTGACTCTAATGAAAGCTTTTAATTAATCATTCTTTATGTGGGATGAATATAAAGAAAAAAATAGCTTATTATATATGTATGAATCAGAAAGTGGTTAATTCTGTTTCAACAAAAACAACATGGACAACAACAAAGGAAATCTCTCTCTCACTGGCCACAGAGGGTCTCTGTAGTGTCTGTCAATCTTGGCTTTAGGAGAAGACAGCTGCTCCAGCCTCTCTGTGGGTTTAGCCTTCCTGGCTGTCTCAGGCACCTCCCAGGGCAGGGGCCTCTCTCCTTGAAACGCAGGTGGGGCTCTCTTGGGGTGGGAGAGGTTGACGATTCTGTTGCTGGCCTCAGCAGTTAGCGCCCCGTGGGGTACCAGCCAGATGGGCGTCGACCTGCCACAGCTGTACTGGTATTCATTCCTATGTGGGGAATTAAAGCGTTGGGTTAAAGTTAGAGTTTAAATTGTTTTTTTTTTTTTTCAAATGTTTGTAGATTAAAGTTTGGGTTATGATTTTAATGTCCCACAACTGTTTGAATTGGCTTCAGTTTTCACACATCTTTTTGGTACAATTTTAGAAAGTGTATTTACTTTAGTGTTTGTGTTAACATTAACAATCTTTATTTGAGGTGCTGGCCTATTTGACATGATCTAGATCTATGGTTAATGCATGATACATGTTTTAAAATTAGAGGAAGGGGGGAGGGTGAGTTGTTATTAGAACCTTCACTTAATTCTTCTAAATTCTACTCTAGCTTAATATTTCAGTATTTTGATATTTTTTAAAAAAAAAAATCTATCAACATATAAAAAGTAGTAGAATTTATTTGATTGATTGTAAATAAGAGTTGATAGTTCAATATTTTGACTTTGGTGTAAGGGGAAGTTCCACTTTTGAGCTTCCACGTGATGGGTTTTGTGAGTATGATAGCACCAGCTGTACCTGTTGGGTGTGTGTTGAGGGAAGGTCTTGTGGTGAGCCAGTTCACCTATCCTTGGTGTGGCTGTGGCTCGCAGGGCATTCTCATCAACATTGCTGAGTGCTGAGGACCTTCCACAGCTGTAGTACCAGAGTGATCTGACAGTGGGGGATAGAGAGGAATCACCAGTCATAGTGGGCCCAAGGTGTCACTAGAGTCATAGTGGTCATATGGTGACATGAGAATCATATTGGACATATGGTGACACTAGAATCATTGTGGGCATATGTTGACACTAGAATCATTGTGGGCACATGGTGACACTAGAATCATTGTGGGCATATGTTGACACTAGAACCATTGTGGGCATGTGGTGACACTAGAATCATTGTGGGCATATGGTGACACTAGAATCATTGTGGGCATATGTTGACACTAGAATCATTGTGGGCATGTGGTGACACTAGAATCATCGTGGGCATATGGTGACACTAGAATCATTGTGGGCATATGGTGACACTAGAATCATAGTGGGCAAAAGGTGACATTAGAATTATAGTGGGCAAAAGGTGACAATAGAATCATAGTGAGCATATGGTGACACTAGAATCATTGTGGGCACATGGTGACACTAGAATCATTGTGGACATATGGTGACACTAGAATCATAGTGGACATATGGTGACATTACTAGAATCATAGTGGGCATATGGTGACACTAGAAGAATCATAGCGTGCACATGGTGACACTAGAATCATGTGGGCATATGGTGAGAATAGAATCATAGTGGGCATATGGTGACACTAGAATCATATTGGACATATGGTGACACTAGAATCATTGTGGGCACATGGTGACACTAGAATCATATTGGACATATGGTGACACTAGAATCATTGTGGGCATATGTTGACACTAGAATCATTGTGGGCACATGGTGACACTAGAATCATATAGGACATATGGTGACACTAGAAGTAGAATCATTGTGGGCATATGTTGACACTAGAATCATTGTGGGCATATGGTGACACTAGAATCATATTGGACATATGGTGACACTAGAATCATTGTGGGCATATGTTGACACTAGAATCATTGTGGGCACATGGTGACACTAGAATCATATAGGACATATGGTGACACTAGAAGTAGAATCATTGTGGGCATATGTTGACACTAGAATCATTGTGGGCATATGTTGACACTAGAATCATTGTGGGCATATGGTGACACTAGAATCATAGTGGGCACAAGGTGACATTAGAATTATAGTGGGCAAAAGGTGACAATAGAATCATAGTGAGCATATGGTGACACTAGAATCATTGTAGGCACATGGTGACACTAGAATCATTGTGGACATATGGTGACACTAGAATCATAGTGGACATATGGTGACATTACTAGAATCATAGTGGGCATATGGTGAGAATAGAATCATAGTGGGCATATGGTGACACTAGAATCATAGTGGACATATGGTGACACTAGAATCATAGCGGGCACATGGTGACACTAGAATCATTTGGGCATATGGTGAGAATAGAATCATAGTGAGCATATGATGACACTAGAATCATAGCGGGCACATGGTGACACTAGAATCATGTGGGCATATGGTGAGAATAGAATCATAGTGGGCATATGGTGACACTAGAATCATAGTGGGCATATGGTGAGAATAGAATCATAGTGGGCATATGGTGAGAATAGAATCATAGTGGGCATATGGTGACACTAGAATCATGTGGGCATATGGTGAGAATAGAATCATAGTGGGCATATGGTGACACTAGAATCATAGTGGGCATATGGTGACACTAGAATCATTGTGGGCATATGTTGACACTAGAACCATTGTGGGCATGTGGTGACACTAGAATCATTGTGGGCATATGGTGACACTAGAATCATAGTGGGCAAAAGGTGACATTAGAATTATAGTGGGCAAAAGGTGACAATAGAATCATAGTGAGCATATGGTGACACTAG